TGATTAAGGTTGATTAATTTTGAACTCTTGTACTAAAATTAAATAAAAATACCTAATATTTACTAATATTATTTAATTATGTTTGAATTGCTCAATTTGTTTTGGAATTTTATAGAAAAGTTATGTTGCAAATGAGGACCTTCAATTGGACGTAGTTATGCTACAACGTTCCAACCCGCAAGGTGGTCAAAATTGAGTTTTCGAGCCCAAGCTAGGTATTTTGGGTCACCCTATCTAGTGCTGAAGACACTGACTCTCTTACGACAATAATTAATGAAATAATTAAGCGGTCCCAATGATAAAACGATCCAAAAGATCTAAATAAAATCTTAAAATGTGACATTCCATTTGGAACGTTATGTTTTAGTTCGTTTTGGACTGAATACAATGAAAATAATGATCCAATCATTTTGGAACGTTTTACAAATAACTAATTTTAAATGTTAAAAAGTGACATTCCATTTGGATCGTATGCTTTTAATTCGTTTTGGACTGAATAAAATAAAAATAATGTTCCAATGTACTTGGAACGTTTTTAAAAAGGCTTTTTGTTTGAAAGTGGCTTATAACTTAATTTGCAAAAACGTTCCAATGTGTGAAAATTGTTATAATATTATTTTGGTAGTTAATATAATTTTTTTTTCTAAAATATAAGTACATATAACAATATTTTAGAAAAAATAAGTATAACAATGAAACAATGTTATTTTAAAAATTAAAAATATGTATATGTATAATTATAGATAATAAATATTAATTATCGTTTGATAGAATGTTTATGTCCGAATTTACAATGGCATACTTTTAAAATAGAATTTATTTTGGCAAAATNTTAATTCGTTTTGGACTGAATAAAATAAAAATAATGTTCCAATGTACTTGGAACGTTTTTAAAAAGACTTTTTGTTTGAAAGTGGCTTTTAACTTAATTTGCAAAAACGTTCCAATGTGTGAAAATTGTTATAATATTATTTTGGTAGTTAATATAAATACATTTTTTTTAAATATAAGTATAACAATATTCTAGAAAAAATAAGTATAATAATGAAACAATATTATTTTAAAAATTAAAAATATTTATAATATGTATAATTATAGATACCTAATAAATATTAATTATCGTTTGATAGAATGTTTATGTCAGAATTTACAATGGCATACTTTTAAAATAGCAGAATTTCTTTTGGCAAAATTTCATTCTGCATATTATATTAAAGTGGGGTCCCGTTGCAGTTGGCATGTTGTTGGTGAATGGGTGGCACTGCTCAGTTTACTCTTGTTTTTATTTATTTTTTTCTTCTTCCATTATTATGTGCCACTGTCATGAGTCTATGTAATTGCCTGTATTTGTGTGTCAAAGTCAAAGCCAAAATTTCTTTATTTGTTTAGACTAATAAATAGTTCTTACAAATCATCATTTTGCTCTTAAGGAGCCTCTACATGTCTCATAATCTTTTTACCCTACCAGCGCTTCGAGACCAACATTTGGCAAGTGCTGAGAAGAAGCGCCGCAATAAACTCAGTCACCACTGTCTGCCGGTTAATATAAATAAATAGAAATAGTAGTAGTAGGTACATTCGATTCACTGAATTTACCATGCATTCTTGTATGGTGTATCTTATAAGAGTGGGTATACAAGATTGCGTGTGATGTGATGTCCATTGTAATAAATGTATCTTTCTTTCTATCAATGATGTTTTCAGTTACAGTACACTTAGTACAATTAGTTTTCCGCAACATTCCTGGACAGGATATACTAAATAAACGTCATGCAATCGATATTATGCAGAATATTTTCAATATTGCAGAAATTCTGCCATCTGCATATTATGCCAAGTGGAATGGTACCAAATAATCGTGCTACTAATTAAACGTTATACTAATCGATGTTATTCAGAATGAAATTTTGCCAAAAGAAATTCTGCTAGTTTAAAAGTATGCCATTGTAAATCTAAATATGTAAAAGGAGAAACTGACTGACTGACTTATCAACGCACAGCCTAAGCGGCTAAACGTAGGCACTTGAAATTTGGAAGGGACGTAGCTTAGGTAGATTCACACTCCCACTCATAAATGCAGTAAGTTGTAAAGATACGGCGCATATATTACGTTGTAAGAACTAAAATTTAAGTCAATCATTTAACACATGTACCGTAAGTAACGAAAACTACTGATAAACGCAGTAAGGAACAATCATACTGCATTCATGGGTAGTAAGTATCGAACGAAAACTTAGTTAATCCATAACATAAACAGTTTTTTAATAATTTTAAATACAAAATATTAATTAAAATACAAAAACCTCATATCAAAATAAACTTTGAGTTTAGCTCTATAAGCCCATATATATTTTTTTACAAATATTTGCGTAACTAATTGTAGACACTTCAAAATAAAATTTCAACTTTGATCGCGTTTTTCTCGAAACTGTTCACGTGTTACTTACTGCGTTTATAAATTGTGCGGCAGAATGGTATACCTACCCTACATATCTGCCCTGTAAGTGCCTATTCACTCTCGCCTTGAAAAGGCCCGGATTATAATGTTCGGGAAGACAGCAGCAGCCAGGGAATTCCAGTCCCTAGTTGTTCGCATTATAAAAAAGTTATCGGAACGCTGGTGGAATGTTGACAGATATTTGCAAGCAAAGATAACTTACTGACTCTCCCTGTACTATGGTACGAGTGAACCCCATCCGTTTTGGCACGACCGTTTCTCTAAGATAAGAGCTTGCCATGCAATTTGATATTGCAGCATTTATATTAAAGCTAGTTGAGCACTCGACTTCAGCTAAATCGTTGTCACACATTTTTTTACCGCGACTTACTCGAGAATTCGTTCGTTGGTTTCAGCCAAATGACGTCCACTGCTGGACAAAGGCCTCCCCCAAGGATTTCCATAGCAACCGCTCCTGCACTCTGCCCGCATTACCGCTACCGTCACCAGATCGTCGGTCCACTTAGTGGTGGGTCTGCTCACACTACGTCTTCCGGACTCGAGAACTTTCTGCCCCAGCGGCTATCAGCACTGTGAGGTATGTGCCCCACCTACTGTCACTTGATTTAAGCGAGGAGTTATATAATAGATGAAGATTGTCTCTTCTTCTTATTCGTTACGCTCTTGGCAGAGCGGTCGTGGTCACGTTGAGGCGTTGTTCACATCGGCTGTAGAGGCGGATACAACTCTCCGCACAATCTCCCGCCATCTCTCTCTATTGGCAGACTGTCTGGTGCAGTCACATAAGCCGTCTCCCACTGCTGCTTTCACTTGGTCGGTCCAGCGCATTGGTGACCTGCCACGCGAGATTGTCTCTACATGAGATCTTATAACTTTTTCACTGTATGTTTTCGCCTTGGCATTTTTGGTGGAATCAAATTAAGAAAAAAACTCATGGTAATAACGTTACACAAAACAATGTCTAAAATTAATTATTTTAGATTTATTCATTATTCAAAATTTATTCTCACACAAATACCACAGACAAATTAATGTTATTTTCAATTATCGTAATATTTTTTTTATCATTCCCAGAATTTTGGCATCAATAAAGCAAATGACAATGAAACACACGTCTAATAAATAACATTTATTTATTAAAGAATTTAAACTTATTTTTATAAGGTGAGTATTTACACAAAGACTTAACTTATAAGAAGAGAAAAGATAGTGAAGAAAAGACAGAAGATATGAATAAGTTAATTCACCAGAGCATAAGCACGAGCGCGGTGCGGCGTCGTCGTGTGCCTGCCACAGATATTTCTAAAAGTACAACTTGATAGAGTTAAATGCGTACCTAGTAGCCGTGACGTCACATCGCCTAACGGCTAAGGCCCGGTTTTTTGATTCGTAGTTAAAATAACCAATGGTCAAATTTGACAGATGTCAAATGACAAGTGGTTAAATATCAGAAAAAAATGTTTTTCGAACAATGGTTAGCTTGACTTTTAGTACATTTTTAACTATTCGTTAACATTTTGTAAATATTTAACCATTAGTAGCAAAATTTAACAATTAGTTATTTTAACTATGAATCAAAAAACTGGGCCTAAGGCTAACGCGGGGAGGTGCGAGGGAGAGACGCATTCCAGTGAAATGCGCAGTTAGCTCGATCAAGTTGTATGTAAAATAACGCAGCGACAACGCACCGCCGCCGCAACGCATCGTGTGTTTGGTTCTCACTTTTAAAAATATCGTAATACAAATAAAATTAATAACGACGGCATAATCTCAGGCGGAATTCTTCGTAATGTAGTTTTATTAAGGGCTATTCAGCTACAAACATCTAACCTGAAGTTCTGCTGACGATATTATTAAGGCTGAGTTGCACCACCTAACTTTGACCGTAACTATGACGTTAACGGGTATTTTTTGTATGGAGTTTGACAGATTTTTGACGTTTATCAAAGTTCAAGTAAGATGGTGCAACCCAGCCTGAGTATATCTTGAGATCACAGAATTATAATTGTAACCCTATACTGCACCTTCAGTGCGCCTGACAGTCCTTACATGTGATTTGTTTTTTCAATTTTTCAAGTAGGTAAAACGTCAGGCACACTAAACCTAACATGCACATCCACTCCATCATGACATATTTGTGGTTTTTCATAAAACGTTTCAAGAAAAAATATTTTGTAAATTTTGTTCCTCCTGAAAAGTTCTCATTTTACACATACCCGTGGTTATTACGAATCTTAGCAACCAGTTGCTAATTGTACAATTACAACGTATGTACGCTTGCTATAAATCTTTTAAAGGTGACTGACTTACATAGTGATCTATCAACGCACAGCCCAAACCACTGGACTGATAGGGCTGAAATTTGGCATGCAGGTAGATGTTATGATGTAGGCATCCGCTAAGAAAGGATTTTACGAAACTCCACCCTTAAGGGGGTAAAACGGGATCCACGCGTACGATGTCGCGGGCGGCCGCTAGTTTTAAACTAAAACGTGTGAAATGTACCTAATTAAACACTTTTTTTTCATTTACAAGTGTTTTCTAAACATTTCTTTTATTTTTTGGTTTCATGAGATGAAAGTCCTATTGACTCTTAATCGACTAGTTTATTCAACTTAATAAATTTCCACATTCCCGAAACTTTTTGTTTTTTTTTAATCTTCATTTCAGCTCAAGATAGTATTTTAATAATCGCATTTGTGATAAATTGGTCGCGAAATTTTTGATAGAGCGAAGAAGAACCCACAGGGACATAGAAGTTAAGATACCCAGGTCTTCTGGATAGTCTACTCTGTAATGTCTAGCAGTTCTCTTGTCGTGCTGTCGGTATCGACTGTTGAAGGGTTGGACGAGTTCCCAGGGTCTTCTTGTGATGCTTGGTTTTCAATCAGCTGTTTCAGGTCTTCCTTCTTTTGGCGAGAGAAGAACCCGAACTGGAAGAAGAAATATTTCAAAGTTTAAAGATTAGCAGAAATAACTGTGAGATTTTGAAATAAATTCGTATGTATTATTTGAATCCACGATAGCAAAACAGTGAAGGGTTCAACTAGCCGACTAGTGATCCGAGGAACGCGCGTTCGATCCCCGCCGCCGTTCGACTATCGTGGTAAGCCCACTCGTAACGAGGGGTTAACGGGATCATTTGTATTTACTAATTGCTATTATATTCTTTAATCTGTTTCTAAGTTTAGTAGCGTGGCAACTACGCAAACAAAGTAGAACCTTATTAAATGAAGAGTCTGCCTTCTTTTCAGGAGTCCATTGAACCAGAATAACCGCTTAACGAAATAAAAATTGAAGGCAATAACATGAAGGTAAGAAAATAAAGTTGGTTACCTTATACAAAGCAGCTATGATGGCAGCTAGAACTAAGAGACCAGCCACCAGACCCACAATCAGAGGCCAAATTGGAGTCTTGGGTTCCAGTAATAATGTAGTGGTCACTTCCATTGTCCTTAAATAAAATTATAGGTACTTATAATTAATGCAAAACATGTGAAACAAAACAAAATGATAAATAAATAAATGCTGTAAAAAATCTAATCAAACAATATTTTGATTCTAATATCTCCTGCGTAATGTTTCGTATTTCTTTTCTAAAATAAAACCAACATAATCATTGTATTTGTATTAAAACATTGGTAAACCATGAATTTTGCAAAATATTATTGGCGTTTAGGTGGTACGATTATATTTCTAGAATTTCCTGAGGTCCGTAATACGTTTAATGAAAAGTAGGCATATAATTTGGTCGGTGTTATTAAGTATTAAAACATAGGTAAAGGTAAACATAACTCACCAGTTTTCTTTTGTTTTACCATTTTGAACGTAAATGAACATCTTGGTAGTCACATTCATTGTCTCTTCGTCATTCAGCTTGTCACCTAAAACCAAAAATAGTTAATTTATATGACCATTTTAGATACTTAATGATAAATCAAATCGAATCAAAATTATTTTATTCAATTTTGACCACTGGTGGCACTTATGAACGTAAAGTACAGTTAAAAAAGGTAGCCCTTAAGGGGCACTTTACATGTCTCCTTATATTTTGGGCTCTACCAGTAATACAATCAACTAATTAGGGTGGGTTGCACCATCATACTTTAACTTTGAAAAACGTCAAAAATCTTTCTAACTCCATACAAAAAGCACCGGTTATCGTCATAGTTACCGTTAAAGTTAGATGGTGCAACTCAGCCTTAAAGTTGTTAGTTCGTAGACAGATTCTTTCGACTTTTTTAACATCCTTCGACACCTTAAATTCAAACTTACCGCTCTGTGAATGGTTAAATCGCAGGGGTAATATGTAACCCGTGGTTGAATTAGCTTCGAGCTTTGCGGCAACGAACGAGAGCTTATTTTCATGAAAGCTCGACCCTTCTATGGAGCTTGCTGGGCATACCTGTTGAAAGTCAGGTTTATGAGAAAAACACTAATGTTTTAGATAAAAATAAATAAATAAATTCAGAGTTTAAGCTGTTTTATACCGGTTTATTTTTTATTATTATTATCATAAAAAATCTTACACCATCCGATAGTAAAAAATCCACTTTCAAGTTATACAGGTCTGATGGGCCGTAGTTGGCGATCTGTAAATAAATTGTGTGCATCAGACAAAAGTGTACCGTAAACTTTAAATACTAGACGTAAATTCGATTGGAAAAGTTAGGTCTGATTGATATATTGATGTCCAACTGATATATTGGTGACAGAGCTTGTGAACTAATGTTATAAAAGTACAAACCTCGTAAAAGTGTGTAAACAAAACATCTCCTTTCTTATCAAATGTTTCTCTTGTGACAGACACGTTGGCCTGGGGTTGGGATTTTCTGAAATAAAGAGAGAATAAGTAGGTATAATAGATGACCCACGCTGAACTGTCCCACCAAACTCAATGACAGGGGGGCGCTACCATCGTTCAACTATATGGTTTCCAACATGGCAAAAATCGGAACCAGCGATCCGGTATTGACGGTGGCGCCCCACTGTCAATGTCATGCATAGGACAGTTCAGTATTTTGGAACTATACCTAGTAAATAGTATCGTTTCAAGCAACTAACCAAAACAGTGTTTTAACGAATTTTCTTTGACACAAATGAGTTTTTAAGATACAGTAAACAAATTCCTTTTCCAGCCGACAANATCATACAAATTTTGAAAAAAAATGTACTTGGAACGTTTTTGCAAAGTAAGGTAAAAACTAATTCATACAAAAAGCCTTTTTGCAAAAACGTTCCAAGTACATTTTTTTCAAAATTTGTATGAGAAATATTAGTCAATTTTAATGACAAGTATGTAATAAAATAACGTTTATTTATTTAGTTGAAGTGATACATACTACTCAGTTCAACTCGCTACCAAAAAAAAGCGTACCACAAATTTTCAAAAACGCGATTTTCTCAGTTCGACCTGCGTGTGGGTTGGAACGTTGTAGCATAACTACGTCCAATTTAGGGTCAATTTTTCAACTATCGAATAAGTTTTGACTGAAGAATAAAATTGGTCTGTTGACAGATTCTTATGGGAAATATTTTATGTCGAAATGACAATTTTATTCCTGAGATAAAAGATATCGGACTGTTAAAGCACAGTTACAGTAACATATACAGAACATGTTCTATGTTATGTTCTGTGGTTACATAAGTAAATAAATTAAGATAATTATATTAAGATATAATTATCATAATGTAAATTAAAAAATAAGTTTTAATCAAAAATACCTACTACAAGATACCAGATGTAACACTTTGTCCAAATAAACTTTATTAGTTATTATTATTATTTATTATTATCATATCTTTGTATCTGTGTACGATACTTTTACATTACCATAACAAAGCCATCAAGATGTTCCAATATCGCATATTTAATATCGGAACAAGAGTCTTTGATCATTTCGTAGCATCTTCAATAAACTGCCTGAAGCTTATCACTCTGGGGCAACTTTATCAAGACAACCTTCAACCTAATTTACACTTTATCGCCAGCTGACAAGATTTCAATTTATTCAAGCCTTATTTTCATAGCAAGGCGATGTAAACGGAGCATTTTGTAGGCAATCTATCTGAAAATGGTAAAGATTGGGGACTGATGAGTTTTAGATCATCTTTAGGGTAGATGACAAGAATTTGTTGATACAATAGCAGCGATTAAGGGAATTTTAGGGAAAATATGATAACAGGTAAAGATTAGACTTAAAACGCTTTTGACTGATGCTCTCGTTAATTATTCAGGAGATTAAGCACTTTAAGGTATTAAAATAATATTAAAAGAACTTAAAAGAGTGAAATGAGAATAAAACATTACTAATATTAGTAAGAAAAAACTGAAAGAAATAACACATACTGACTAAAAAGTGCCTACACAGCTAAATGTAAGCAGTAACTGCATTTAGTTACTGTGAAGGAAAGAAAGACAGAAAATATTATTTATTTGACAACTAATATAAAGTTCAAAAAAAAAAATGGACAGAAAAAGACAAAAAAAATTTTGCCAAGAGGTCACCCACTCAGTAGTGTGCTCATCATTTTTTAGTTCAAGTAGACTTTTAAAAAGCACTTAAAACCGTCTCAGTATGCTTCAGGAGTAGGTCAATAAATGGGCCAGAGCTGTGAAGAAGCAACATCTATGATTTATCATAGATTTTGGGATAAAAATCTACAATTTACAGTAACTTCCATAATTCTAATTGATATTCTACTTTTACATCACTCTAGCCTTACCTCAACGTAAAGCCATATTTTAAGCCATTCCCAGCATGCGGCGCATAGGCAATAAGGCAGTGTCTTGCCAAATGGTGCTTTATTAAAAGAATCTGCCGAGAAAATTTTAATTAATAACCAACTGCCTACTCCGTAACAAGCCCGTATTCACAAACGATGCTTGCTTAAGTGAAGCAGCAAATCGAATGCTGTGAATAGAGCTCTGTGATTAGGTCATGTGTCACCCTGTGCGTCCACGCGCACTGTGAGACCTCATAGTAATGTTTGTGAATACGGGCGTAATGCCCGCCACCGCAATCTCACGAAGGTTTCGCGAATGTCAGACCCTTTCTAAGTAGAGTACTTTAATTTATCAAACTATTCATACTGATCAAAGTTTGAGATATACATAAATCATCCGTATCGTACAACAGTTTGACAGACAATTTGGGAAAGTTTTTAGTTTGGGAGATTAATCTCTGAAACTTTACAAATGGTATTTCTATTAGGCCTAATTTATTTATGACATATTTCAAGTTCAAATCATATAACAATACTAGCGGCCGCCCGCGACTTCGTACGCGTGGATCCAGTTTTACCCCGTCAGGAGTGGAGTTTCGTAAAATCCTTTCTTAGCGGATGACTACGTCATAACATCTACCTGCATGCTAAATTTCAGCCCGATCCGTCCAGGTGGTTTGGGCTGTGCGTTGATAGATCACTATGTCAGTCAGTCAGTCAGTCAGTCAGTCAGTGAGCTTTGAGTTAAATATATTGAGATTGATTGATTTCATTGCATCTAAGGTGGTCAAATGTACTGTGTAGAGTATTATTACCATTGGATAGTCTAGTACCTATCTCTATAAAAGATTGTATCTATAATTAAAACGCCGTCATTAAGTACAAAATAACAATAATTTAGGTAGTTTCCATTATATTCCTAGCACAATTATTTCATAATAATAGCATTTAAAGCACTATTTTGGAGTCGGTATTTATGATATCAATACCTATGGTAATACGAGTAACAATTAGTAGTTTCGATAATATTTTCAGTAATTTCAGTTCAACGAATAAAAATAATTATAAGATTAGAAACTTTTGCGTTCCATTACAATTAAAATAGTGAATCACGAGTCTTAACTATTATAGCAGCCGTGGTTACATGCAAACGTTGCGGCCGTGTTACTATAGAACACGTCAAGGTATGTAGGTCGGCACTTCATAAAAAATGTTGCATTGAGACCGTGATTCTCTAATTTAACAAGATTTCTATAAAGATCTCTTTAAAGAAAATTAACGAGACTATTCTCACCGCTGCAACTCCTGTGTAGCCAGGATCTACAGCTTGGCCGCCAATAAAAACCCAACCAGTGAAGGTCAAATTTGTCCCGGGGGAAAGTTAAACTGTCATTGGACCCGCAACGAAATTAATCAGAAAAACATAGGAGGAGTTCGAAGTAAATGTTCAAAGGTAAAAAAATGAGAGTCATCTATACTAATATTATAAAGCTGGAGAGTTTGTTTGTTTACTTGAACGCGCTAATCTCAGGAACTACCGGTCCGATTTGAAAAATTCTTTCAGTGTTAGATAGCCCATTTATTGAGGAAGGCTATATAGTATATAGGCTATATACCATCACGCTACGAGTAAATAGGTGCAGAGCAAAAATGAAAAATGTTGCGAAAACGGGTTTTCACGCGGGCACAGCTAGTTAACTTATATTATTCCATTGCACCGCAATTAAATCATGCCATATAACAAGACAGTTCGTCATAAACAAGACTAATCTCCATGCTTTGCGCACACGCTTCAAAGATATAAGTCACTTCTCCAACTACCCTCATAACACTATCTGCCAACTTTTTATTGCGCTCGCAAAAGTTGAATTTGATCTCTATAGTGAATGGGTTACGGTTGAAAGTGTGTACAGTTGTGTATAGTAGTTGTGGTTTGTATTGTACTGTCTGTATGAAGGCGAGAAATGGCAGGCTTAGCTTCAGTCAAGGTATAAAGAGAACAGCCAGTCAGGTTTTATGAACACCTTACATATTATCACAGAATAAGTAATATAGTACCAAGGATATTATAATTAAAATTTCACTAAACATGACAATTACGCCGGACCAAGAAACGGGTAAGTATGATTAATTACTATTTAGATTCATGCATCTATTTTTCTGACGCAATCTGTGATCAGTCAAGATTGCGGTGCTTTTTCTTAGCACTTGTCAAATATTTGCGCCGAAGCGACGGAAAAAATTAGAACCTTAATATTTTTTGCAGAAGTGAACATAAGTTCTTTTAGTTTGTGTTTATTTTTTCTTTAGTGGGTATTATCTAACAAGCTTTTGTCCGCGACTTCATCCGCGTGAAATTTTGTCTTTCACTGAAAATCTTTATCGCGCGTGTCCCTGTTTTAAAAACCTGGATTATGACTATCCTTTATCCTTTCCCGGGACTCTCAGATCTCCTTAAGCTTTCCAAGTGGGATAAAGAGGCCTAATGTTCGCATATTTCTCTCTTAAACATCCACGGAAAGAGTGGAGTCGGTCATTTTCTACTCTGCTGGGACTGGACTGGTTACTATATTAATACTGATAGATAGACTTCAGTTTCAAATGGTTAGGCTGTCCTCCCCACTCTACGCCTCAGCATTTAGATTTCATTAAGGGAGGACCCTGTTTTAAGCTCGGTTATTTATCACGATGTCTCTGTCAGAATTCTAATTAAACCAAATTAGTTCTCTCACGGTTTTATGGCGGTTTGTTTTGTTCCATTGTTTGGACTGGAGATTATTAACACTTTGCTATTTGTGCAGTGTACTTTGGAGGAAATCGCTATAGGGGGTTAAATTAAGTCAGTGTAGCAACTAGCAACTTTGTTGATCCTGCAAATGCGATTCTACAGTGTAATTGGATGACTACAAATCCTCATGTTTGATTCTTGTCTTATTCTGGGATTATGAGGAACAGATTTTTTGCTGTGTGTGACTTGACTTACTTGACTTAAGGTCCTATGTCCCCTAGATGGGGCAGAGGGAGTCCACAACTAACAGTCCTCCATCGCGTTCGGTCTTGTGAAGTTAGCAAAATTTGCGACAGCATTTATTAATTTTATCAGAAAAA